AGTGTGATATCTACGCTCTCTTACTCTCTACACTGTGGTATACCAACCCAGTTTCTTACATTGTGTTGTATCCGTCTGTTAACATTAGGTGGTATTCACACTGTCTCTTGCACTTGGCAATGTTATATCCATTTCCTGCTCATAGTTAGGAACCAATTAGGAATAAAGCTCCCTGCCTGAACTGGGATGTCCTGTGGAAATTATCTTTAATATGATTGTAATGAGTTTTGTGCCGTATTAGTGGACAGAGAGGTGATTGAAGCACAAGTTTAGTCATGCAGCGCAAATTGCACTGCAAGATTCATTATGACTATTGGCCAATAAATGGTGATGGAATCATTGACCTAACATGAGTGATCTCAGCAACACATCTGTGCCGGTGCAATTGAAATCAAAACCCACAACCAGTTTCACATCAGAGACTCACACCAGAATTTTAAAAAAAGCTTCCTACATCTACGAGATCTGAGCTGTGATTATCCAGGGAACCTCACAGAAGTCGTATCGACTTGGGACCATTCACTTAATTTAACTTATGCAGAGTATGAGTTGTGTCAAACTTGCAAAGAATATAAACTCTTTAAAGGGACTTGGACAGATGTATGATTTAGGCGATTGTACGATTGATACAAATCATATTAATGTGAGTTTTACTGTAATAATAATAATGCTTGGATTTTATATAGCTCCTCATCACGCTGTTGAAAGTCTCAAAGTGCTTCACAGGATTTAACTGTAAAGGAACTGTCGTAGTGACTGTGTGTTTTGTAGTTAAACAAATATGAAAATGCATTTCTCGTACACAGACAACTCCTTGTATTGCCCTCAGGTATCACAGTAGTGATTTTAGCACAGATTAAATGATGGGGTCCTAATGCTTTTCAGGATCATAACTCTTCCAATTACTTACTCCACCATGCTGAGTCACAAACATGAGAGAAGTGATGTGAATGTGAGCCCTCCAAGTACAAATATAATAGTATTATCATTTTTTATAAGTAGTAGTATTAATAATGACTAATTATTATCTGGAGGATTTTGGCAAAGGAAAAAAAAAACTCCCTGCTCTTTTCGAATAGTTCCATGGGATCTATCTTGTCTACCTGAACAAGCAAACATAGCTTATAATTATTATTATTATAGCTTTGAAACGTCTCAACGTCTTGGTAAGGCGCTATATCAAATGCAAAAATTACTATTATAAAACAGTCAGCGATCCAAGCTCCCAGCTCTCGCACACTCCATGACCAACACACAAACCCAAATCACTGCCTTGCTTATTCCTTCCAGTGCTTTTACTTTTTCTCAAGAGCTACTGTGACCTGCAAACACTTTCTCCCAGGGCTGAACTCACTACGTATTGACGTCATGATTCTCACAAGGTCTTGTGGGCCGTGAATTTTATTTATTTCAGAACTGAGTACAACAGCCCAGTGTGGGAGCTTTCCGCTCAAGTTTATTAGAAGTGGTACAATAGCCCTGATGATTACACTCATCTGATACAGCTTTGTGTTCTGTCTTTATCTTGCGCTGTCCATAGTTTATCCTTATGCTATCTCCTACACTGTGCTGTGGGTACTGTGAAGGGGATTCGTAAGGGTTAGAAACATATAGGTAATTATTACACAGTTTGGTGTTCCACTCCCGTCGGTATCTCCATCAATGTCTCCCCACCTCCCTACCATTCACAAAAACATCACCCACTAATCCTGGCACCTAATGGATCACGGCATTGCCTGATTAGCAGGAATCCTGTCTTGACATGCCTTTTAAAGTCCAAAACATATGCGTATAAACCACTGTGGAAAATCTATCAGTAGCTCATTACCCACTTGATATCCACAGGTTTATCTCAAGTCTCTGGCAGGCCTGTCAAGGCACAGCTCCCGAGGTTCCTGAACCCAAATAAATGCCTGTTTATTCAATGCTCAGCCTCAGAGTCTTGTACCAAACACCATCAATTGTGTCCCCATTACTCAAGGATGTGACACCCCATCACACAAAGCTTACTTTGCCGAGTCTATGTCTCCAGGAATGAAAGGCAGTTTGTAGGTATCCATGTATGCACTGACAGGACACCGTATGAACAGTGCGCTACAGCTTCTCAGATCTGTATAGTTATTCCAAACAATGTATTTCTTTTTTTTTTGCTTAGCCATCTTGGGTTGCATCACAATTCAGGATCAGCAGATTCATTGAGTTGCATTGATTTCTCCTGCAGTGAAAACCCATTACCCTTACTCGAAACTAAAATTGACAAACTGGATGAATGTACCCCATAAATGCCGTTTCAACACTTGCACACGGGGACAGAATGACGCACTTGTTCCGTTGACTAAATCGCACACCGTGTAAAGGTATCTAAATGCACCTGCACATTTCTTCCAAGATGGAAGTTTGGGACCACCTTCCTGAGAGAACACAAAAGACGTTGCAAGTACACGAGTGAGTAGAGAAAAGCTTTCATTGTGAGTGTCTGAGAAAAGATTGGACCTAAAACTCCTGGGTGTTCAGCTCCCAGCTGAGACAATGTTTGCAGGTGAAATCATCACCGTGGTGAAAATGTACAGTGATATTGTTTATCGGAAGGACTCGAGCCCTAGTGAGGATAAATAGCCCGACTCAAATTGAAGCAATCTAATAGCACAAGACACAAATCATAGGGATATATAACACTACAATGGGGTCTAAATTGCAGCGATTCACATGGGTAATTCCTCAATATTCACTCTCGTAAGTGGTAAATAGGGACTCACTCTTAACTGAAAATGGTCGCTTGTCAGAAATGAATTGCAGCAAGTCAGTCCATGTCAGATCATTTCAGTTGCCCAAAGGAATCCCCATTTGTAACTTGGAACCATTATCGAGGAAGAAATGCTACAAATCACCAGCGATTGGGAGCCTAAACTCTCGCAGTCTACGATTCGAAGCTGAGCGATATATCGCACGCAGGGCGCAACTCGTGCCGTCTGAGACAGGAAGAGAGAAACATAGAGAGCTTTCGTTGTAGAGGAAAGGAATTGACGTGGGAGTTCAATGCAAGCTACTTCATCCAATTATAAATCCCTGTCATTATTCTGCAGCAATTGTTGCCTGCATAACTCCTAACATCTATTAGGTCATTTGCTGTTGCCTGACACAGCCTCAGATAGCTTTTCCACCAAAAATCAAACAGGGGACTTGCTTTCTAAACTACATTTTCCATTCCGCAAGGCTAATAGGACCTTCTGAGACCGTGGGAAATAAGAACCATTTACTGAAGAGTGTCAGAATAAGGTTAACAAGTTTACCAACGTGTGTTGAATATTGTGCCCTGAAAGAGGCACAAACTCCATTGATACTAACAAAATTCTCCTATTGTCACGTGAGACAGGGAAGGCCCCCTTCTCCCCCCACCGCCTCCCCACTGCTCCTTATGACTCAAATTAAGACAGGATCATACTCCCTCTTACCCCTGAGACATGACAAGCTCCAAAAATTTCTCTACCAAAGGTAACCCAGATTCCCATTCACGTTGAGACATCCTGAGTTCCCTGTTCTAACCCTACACACGGTACCTGAGCCTCTGTGTGACCACATCGTGACCAAATCATGAGAACATACAAAAACATAATCGAAGGAGAAGATGGACAGAGCCAAAGTTAACTATCAACTCTTTGTGGAGAAACGAAGGTACTGCTCCAGGATCTTGTTACTTTGGTTGATATAGCATCAAACAATAAGATTTTGGGATACATTATTTGGGAGCTCCGTGGACAATCACACACATCCACCTGCACGTCCAAACCTGTACCCACACATCCAAACTCATCCGTGGCACACTCAATATCATGCGTGCGGGGCTTGTTCAAGAGTTGACACTGGCTATCTATCCACGGGCAGTGACCTTCAAGTAAGTACTGAGGGTATTCGCGTGAGCAATCTGCTTCTTCTCCAATAAATAGAATGTCGGTCCTTGGAAGAGTGTGACTGTAACAGGAATCTGTAATCACATACTTGGTCCCTTGGGTCCAAAATGCTCATGAATAGAAGTAGAAAATTACCCAGGCAAAAGATACCTGCTAGCCCGGCTACAAAACAAGCTGGTCTCGCCTGACTGTGAAGATGCTATAAATCAGATGAGCTGGTCAAAGCCTTGGCTGCTCCCATGCAGTCAGCGTCAGACTGTTCCTTACAGGCCAATGCGTACAGAATACAACCACTGGATAATGCCACACTGCTGCGAAAGATTCAATCATTAAGGTCGTTTGAATTAGAGATGAGTGATACTCTCTATTTTCGTGCAAGCTTCAATTTCATGACTTTGTGAGCGTATGGCAGTGGACCGTCTCTGATCCCTGAGCGAAATTGTCTCAGCGAGTGTGAATGTGTTCGAATCTTCTCACAGCAGTGGGGTCAGTCAGGGACTTTACCCAGCACTGACTGACTGACTGACTGACTGACTGGCTGGCTGGCTGGCTGGCTGGCTGGCAGACAGACAGACAGACAGACACACACACACACACTCTGGCTTGCGGCAAGATACCCAAGTGGTCACGCACCGAGTCCACCTCCTGAGTTACACACAAACAGATTCGCGGGACAGGTAGGAGCCTTTCGAAACGCTTGCCATAATACAACATGCAAGGCCTCCTGCCAGAACAAGCAAACGGTGCTGTCCTTTACAAACTCGCATGTAACACTGGCTCATAGGAAAGCAGGAACAGGAGTAGGCCACTCAGCACATTCGGTCATTCTATTGGATCGTGGCTGAGCTGTACCTCAACTCCAATGACCCGCCTTCGCCCCCGTATCCCTCGATACCCTTGCCGAACCTGACACAGCACACGGCACAGCAACACGCACAGTGCAGAGAGAGAGAGAAAAAAAACCAACCGCTGCAAAAGTCAAAGGACCCCAGGCAAAAAACACAAACCACAATAAACCGCAGCTCCAGGTCCTCTCGAGGCGTGACAATACTGAAGGCTATAGTACGGGGCTCGGCTTCTCAACGCACATACCTGCTTCATCATCAGACTCCTTCTCGTTCTCTGAGTCAGTCAGCGTGAGGGCCGAGTTCTCTCGGCTTGACAGCCCTGAGCTGCGTCTTGACTTGATGCCCCTCCCCCATAACCTAATAGCATGCTCTGGAGAAATGGCACCTTCAGTGTCGGACTCGGCGTCGCTCAGCGAGTATCCGCGGTGGAGCAGTCCCACGTCCGGGCAGTAAGCCGTGCTTCGGTGAGGGGAGGGCTCACAGATTCCCAGTTCTGTCAGCGTGAAATTGGCTCCTGCGTACAAACAAAGGGATTGATAATAATTCTAGCCATCATACTTCTTTTTAAAGATACATCACCCTTCCCTATTGGCGGAGGTGGGCAGCAGAAACCTACTCGGGTAGAGAAATAGAATCAGAGCGTGTCACAGCACAGAATGAGGCCATTTGGCCCATCGCGCCTCTTTGAAAGAGCTACCCAATTAGCTGCACTCCCCCGCTCGTTCCCCCTAGCCTTGCAAATGTTTCCTGTTCAAGTAGATATCCAATTCCCTTTTATTCTTTATTTGTTTATTTGTAACTCGGTCTGTCCAGCCCCCTGAGACGTCCTCCCGACGGGAAAGGCGCGCTTTACAAATGTGATTTTGTTGTTGTTGTTGTTGTTGTTGTTATTTATTTTTATTTGCCGCCGCATTTCGGCCACAAAATGTACAGCGATTCACTTTGCAGTGCATCCTGTGAAGCGCTTTGGGATGTCTCAAGCACGTGATAATGAGCTATATCGAAAGGATTATTATTATTTTTGCATTTATTTATTATATTTTATTGTCTATTAATTTTTTATTGGCTGTTCAGCTTTGAGCCACTCGGCCAATTCCAGCTTCGACTTGTGAGCTCTTCATCTTGTGGTCTGCACTACGCTGTAAAATAACAGTGAACACAACGAGATCAGCGGGTCTATGCATAGAGATTGTGCATTGCCTGACTCTTTCATAACAAAGGTGATGTTCTGCATGTCTTCACCTGTAATCACTTGTGATACACTCCATTTACTCCTCAGCACAACACTCTCTCACATAGTTTGGACCCCCGAACATTAAAAACACTGATGCATGTTTCACATCCTTCAGTGCAACATTCTCTATATCTCCCACATCCCTCATTGTAACACTATGGTATATAGCTCACGCCCTTCCCCTCAACACTCTCTATTCATTGCTCTCACTCTAGCACTCTGAGATAGACAAAGCCCTTACTGCAAACTGTGATAGATGTACCTCGCACCATTCAAATGCAGCATACATAAGGGATAAAGGAATAGAGTGGTATGAGAGGGGAATAGGAAGAGAGGGATTTGGAGGGGTGTAGAGAAACACTGGCACGGACTAACTGGGCTGACTGGTCTGTTTTGGGGCTGTGCAGTCTGTGTAACACAATGTAATTCTCTATATGACCTGCACACTTCTCTGCAGTAACCTGGAAGATTGTGTGATATATCCCGCGCTGCACCTTTCTCTGGTATCGAGGTCAAATGTTTTGCAATGGGGTTCACGAATAGAGTCTCGGTGCCCATAAAGGTTAATCCTGGCAGGAACCCCAACAACGGCCAGGACTGCCTAAGACACATCGAGCACTTCAGGGCTGGGGGTGAACTAGCAAGTGATGTGCTGACGGGGAGGTATTTGTAACGTTAGCCTTGGCATTGTGCTCCATCACTGTCAAGCGCTCTGGAAGGCTACACTGCGTGAGGGGAGCTATATAGATGCAAGTCGCTGTTGTTGTTGACCTGGTTCAGTCCAACATTTTGTAGTTGTCGTTTCCCGTTAGGGTGAAACGTTGGGCAAGTTTCCTTACTCCACACGCCTCTGCTTACCTAGCAGTAAGTTGGAAACCGGTTGTTAGTCGATCGGCGAATCGTTTTTCCAGGAGTAATATTTCTTCCAAAAGAAAGATAAATTGGTGACTCAGTCCATGACTGTTTGTGGGGACGCTGCTGTGCACAATTGGCTGCCGCTTTTCACCCACAAAATAAACAGTGAATTAACTTTACAGTATATTCTATGAAGCGCTTTGAGACGTCTCGAAGACGTGATGAGGCACTGTATCAAAATGCAAGTCTTGGTATTATTATTAAGAAAAGAACCCTCTTTTCACGGAGAGTCAGTCCTTCAATACCTCTTCAATGCACATAGTTTGATCAAGCTCTGTGGCTCCCCTCAAGCACTGGGCTGGTACAGACTGCAGAAACTGCAATGAACACACCTGTGTCAGTGATGCAGTAGTAAAAGAATTGTCCACATGAAGCTTGCCCTCATTCCATAGTGGCAATTTTTAACCTCTCCAGGGTTTTGCAGCACTTAAATCATTACTGTTTGAAAGCTACCGGCTGGAGAGTGTTATGTCTGCAGATCTGGTAACATTAAGAGGTAATGTGTAATGTCACTCTAAGAGAATATACGGCTAATACTTAACATTTAGTAACTCATCTGTCAACCTCCCAAAAGATTTTGCACTGTCGATCTATGGATATAATAATGATGATAATAATAATCCTTGCCATTGATGTAGCATCTTATCACATCGTTGGGACGTCTCAAAGTGCTTCACAGAATGTACCGTAAAGTGAATTCACTGTACATTTAGCGGGCGAAACGCGGCAGCCAATTACGCACAGCAGCGTCCCACAAACAGTCGTCGATTGAGGGACCAATTTTTTTTTTTTTGCATGTTGGAATAAGCAAGTGGAATAAGCAAACCTCTTTATTACACGGCCTCAGAAGCACGAAGGTTATGAGGAACCAGGGAACATAATGTGCAAAATCTCGAGAGCTCCCATGTCTCACAGGGATCGAGCCGAGACTTGGAAGAACTGGCTGTAGCCTTTTCAGTTCAAACCAATGCAGTCACTGAATGTAATAGACTGGGTGAAAGTGGGGAAGCCAGGAAAAACTGATGTCTATAACCAGAAAACAGAATCCTGAGTTCTGGTGCAATTTTGCAAACCAACAAATGCAACAGAGTTGTTTCAATCACCAAATTATTATTATATATACATACATTTTTTGGAAGGGATTATTACCCCTGGAAAAGCAATCGACTAGCAACCAGGTTCCTACTTACCGTTAGGTAAACAAAGGGAGGTGGAGTAAGGAAATTTGCCTAAGGTTTTGGTCTTCCCGGGAATTGAACTCGGGGTCCCCTCGCTTGCGAGGCAAGTGCTATAACCATCACTGTATCAAAGCCTGTGAAGGCATCCATTCTATGCCGTGGGGTGGCGGGTCAAGCAGTTAACATTTATGACTCCTTCAATGCGAAGGGGGATGTGATATGAAAATGGACAAGATAACTGAAGAATGTCCCACTGCAATCTGTGCAAGAGTATATAACCTGATAAAAGGCATGTTTTCAGCGCCAGAAATCAGCGAGTGGGCGAGTCAACAGATCATCACGCGACAGGTTCAAGAAGCAAAGCCACGTCACCTCCATTCGGTAGCCTGACTGACAGTCTAATTCAAGGTCACGTTATTGTCTGTGACTTTCTGGGTAACAAAGCCGGAGACAAATTTTATGTGGAAACAGCCAAAGCTATCAATGTCCGCGGAAAATCGAACCGAGTATAACACCGGTAGAGCTCAGGGGTGAACAGGATACGTTCTGTTCAAGGTAGAAAACCATTGGAAAACAACGCAGAACACAGCCTGTTCTTGTGACAAGCAAATACTCTGAAGGCGGAATCACTTACAGCATGTCTGTATTCCCGTTAAACAACAGCAATGCTCGGCGCAAGTTACAGCATAAAGTGGCAGCAGAAAGCAATTTTTCCTTAAATTTTTCCTTAAATCCAAGAATCCAACCTTAAATTTTGAATTACAGGTTAATAACAGCTCGAAAGTGTGATAGACAAACAGAAGGCGAAATCCACCAAATTGTGTGAAAGCAGCATTGGGTTGTAACACTTAACGCTAATGAACGGGAATCACTTTATTAATTATTATAATAATAATCCTGACATTTGATACGGAGCCTTTCACGTCAGGAGGATGTCCCGAAGCACTTCAGATTTACTGTAAAGTGGAGTGATTGGGCGTTTTGTGGGTGAACTTTGAAGGCAGATTTTGGGGGAACATGCAAAGAGCTAATAAAAGCTGCTGACAAGCAATTTAGAAATCACTAAGCAAAGGTTCCAAACTAAATTGTTTAAAACAACCTTAATGTAGCCTTAGAGAGCCAAATAGTACACTTTAGACTTTGGCCATTTCCCAAATGGCCTTTTTGCCCTAAGTAGAATGATAGAGCCATTGTGTGGATCTACAGTTATTCCACACAGAATACTTGCTGAATGGAGGCAGAAACACAACATATCTGAGACTGCGATCAAGTTGTACTTTACGGACCACAAATGTATTAAAGGGATAATGAATGAATCAGATTAATCTCAAGCCTTACATTCATCTTGCTGTAAACCCAAAGTACTGGTCACACTACGAAAACAGATTAAAAAATGAGCTGTGACACATGAAAAGTGTTTGAGAGCCTTGGTACGCCCTCCTGACGTGAAAGGCGCTATCCAATGTAGTTTGTTGATGCTCTTTGAGCCACCAGACTGTGTCACCAGCACAGCAACAACCTGTAAAACCAACCAAATCGGAATTTGTCTTGGCCCAAATGTTATGAAGATGTTTGCTAGTTTTCAAAAGGCATCCATTGAAAACCATTGAAGAAGTTGTGCCCATATGTCTTACGTCAAAAGTTTGGGAATTTTACTGTCAGTCAGGAATCTGACAAGTGCACTTGATCAGGCAACTGCTGTACTTCCAATACACATTATGTCGGCTATTTGTTTGCAAGTTTCATTTTATTATTGCCACTGGTTCAGAACACGATCTGAAATAATATAACGCAACGAGCAATGACCAAAAGTATTTAGAAGATGTTCAAACAGTAATTGATGTCTTGTTTACGTGGTGATCAGATGAACAGAACCAAAGACTGCTTAAAGGTGCTTTGGGGGAACACAAGAGAAAAAGGAACTTGCAGATAAACCATGCTAAGTGTCGAATTGGGCTCAGCGCAATATGTTATCTTCCGTCCTGAGTAAATGTTAAAGGAATGGAAAAACCATTACCGAGACGGAAAGGCCAATTGATAAATAAACTCTTATGACAATTCCTCACCAGAGTTACTTCCTTCAGCAAATTTCTAGCAAATGTGTCAGCTGGGAGTGTACCACTCAGATGTCTGTTAGAGAAAGAAACAAAGTGGAATAGAGAGGACGTCCGAGACAAGAAAAGCTTC